GCCTGCCCGCCGCGGGCAGGAGAACTTTTTCGTTGGACTCTATTTTATCAAGAAAATACATTTTGAAATAGTAAAAAATTGAAAAATGTGTGGTTAAAAAATAAGAAAAAAAATTTAATTTGCATGTAAAATTATTTTATGAGAGAATATGTGGTTAAAAGTGAGTATTGAAAAAATGAATTTTGAGAATAATTGGACTCAAACAGGGGCTTAGTGTTATCAAGGTCATCCAATTTTATTTTATTTCACTATGACCATCTAATTTGATATAACGTTTCAACATGATCATCTAATTTCATATAACGTTTTTCACCATCACTATCTAACTTTTTTGACAATTTTCAATAATTTTAAAAGGGGTAAAACGGTAACTTTATATTACATATAAAGTAAATTTTTAAAAAACAATAAAAACTTATTTAAAAAAAATAAAAACTTATTTTAAAAAACATTACATAAAAAAGTAAAATAACATAAAAACTTATCTTAAATTTTTTTTAAATATAATAAAAACTTATTTTGAAAAAAAAAAGTGTTACTTAGAAAAATAAAATAAAATAAAAGGTTATTTTTAAAAAACGCTCCTTAATAAAATAAAAAATTATTTTTTTAAAAATAGTTTTTAAAATAAAATAAAAACTTATTTTAGAAAATATGTTTTTAAAATTAAAAAAACTTTTATTTTTGTTTTTTAATTTATTTTTTATTTATAATGTAAGTTTACCATTTTACCCCTTTTAAAATTAGTGAAATGGTGAAAAGAAGTTGAATGATTATGGCGAAACGTTATATAAAATTGGATGGTTATGGTGAAATAATTTAAATTTGGCGATCATGATGACACTAAATATAAAGTTGGATAACTATTGGTGGATTTTAACCTTATTTAAATAAATAAACGTATTTTTTTTTTTTTTTGTGAAGACAACATTTAAATATGTAAATATAAATTCTCTATAATATATAAAATGGAATAATTTTTATTACCAACCAAAAATTTTGACGCTGCCGAATTAAGAAAACTATTACCTATTTATCGGGTTTTGGTTGAAAAGACTAGTTTTGCAATTTTCAAAACAATTGTTTGTCATTTGATTTTTAAAGGCTACCTAGCTCGATTCTTAGTCGGTCCAACGGATTTTAACATTGTGATTTTTCGCACATTAGGAATTATGCCCTTAATTACGCAACGACAATGTTAGATAGCGACAATATGCACGCGCTGAAAAGAAATTATAATAGCAAGACGAGTGACGTGATGTTGCTTGTCAAAGATCAAACTAGAATCAAAATTGGCTCTGATGCCAAGTTAACACTATTGAGATAATAACTAGTAAAAACTTGTACTGTTTTATCTTTACGTAATCGATAAAAAGTGCAACTGCGTATTCTAATAAATTTTATTTTATTTTCGAAAATCCTAATAGAACTTGTATAACAAAAAGTAGCTTTTTAATTGACTTTTTAAAAGTCCCACCAATCGAGACCTTATGTATAGATATTAATTTCAAAACTATTTTATACTAATTACTCAATTAAACTATTAAGTAAATAATTCCAAGATATCAAGATTAATGTGACAATACCATACCGTACCGTACTAATGAATCAATAAAACTATTTTAAGTAAATAAAGTACATAAATGATCTAAAGTCCATGATGGGCATTATGAACCTGTCTGGCAACGCTGAAAAGCAGAATTTCAACAGTTGAGAAGCAAAAATTCAACCGTTGAGCCACTGTTCTTGCCGTAATTGTTGACCATGTGTGAGACAGGTGGGGCCCGCCTGTCGTAGTTAACGGTCAAAAAATCAAT